TAAGAAGAACAAGTATCGCCAGCCTGAAGAACGGCTATACCGCGAGGATAGACTGCTGCAAGATGGTGTCAAGACTCCTCTTGCTTACGGTGTGTCTCACCTTGTGGGACTATGAATAATGATGTGTATGCTTGTAATATTGTGTATAATGTGATATTTTGTAATAATGTATGTTTGTAGAATGATGGTAATATTGCCTAATGGTTGTATTTCATAATACTGTTGATGAGATTGATGATGATGATAATATGTATGGTGAAATAAATGAATGAGTGAAGTCAGAGTGTCAATTTTATGGGCAGCCTAAATACCCTGGACCATATTACACACGGAACAACCTGCCCTGCACGCTCATTCATGTGTGTCCTCTAATCCCAGGTAACCCCTTGCTGCCTGTTGGGGGTACACCGCCGAAACGCCCCTTACATCATAATAAAGAAGTTGTCTATCCATATAACTTTCTCCGTTGTTCAAATTATCATGGTCTCAACAGATATTGCATTGTCATACGAGTTCATGAGCGATTTTCAAGTTATTGTGTTGTCATCCACATGCTTTCTTCCTCATTTCCAATTTCATCATTCTGAGTTTCACCTCTGTTGATTATTTCTGTGTAGCTCGCAAAGACGAGGTCACGGAGCGGAACGATGACGTTTAGTGAATCTCCGCGTTCAGTTACGTAATTTCCGCAAAGTGCCTGCGACAATTTGTGCCGAAAAAGTCGTTGTGTCCCATCCGTTGGTCTTGTGTATTGAGTTAATCAGCCGCGACTTTCAAGTGTATTTTGCTTTCCATATATACAATCCATTGATCACACTGGGCTAGGTGTGAGATGTACAGGTGCTCGTGAGGGTGTTTAGTTGAAAAAGACTGACTACGCATAACGCGCCGCCAAATATCGCACGTTCTAAGGAAATCTCGAATTGATTGTTTTATAAAGTGTCGAGCTGACCAGTTGGAATGCTGTTTGGGATTACTCACTGTATCAGGATTTTTGTTATGTGTATAAACTTCCTTTGTCATTTGAAATTAGGGTGTAAATACATTGTTGTTTACATTGGTGATGCATTGCAAAACCTTATATACCAAGATATGCACATGAATAATCTTGAATTTCAACCTTTTGTTAAATTCTCTTTTGTACATGAACTTATTTGTCATGCAAAATAGGTGTGTATACATGTGTGATTGAACAACCCTGTTTACTGAGATAGGAATAGGAACTTTGACCTTTCTCAAGAGGTGCACATATTAGTTTGTGTAAGACATTGACATGTATGTGTATATGCTCTTGAAAACCTTGTTTGGCAAGATGTGCCTTTCAATTTAGCTAGTGTGTGCATGTTCATATTGTATTTCAATTTTGAACATATGGTTTAAACATATTTATATTCTCAGACAATCTGGTTTGGTAAAATAAGCAAAACCCTAAGTACTGGTAGCCATCTACTCACTACCAACACCTCAACCCCGACATAGTTAACGAGCAGTTAATCCAGTTACAGGGGGGTGAGTACAGCTAACAGAACAGCCAGGCGAGGGGCTAGAGGTACTACTTAGTAGCTTGTAACAACAGGGGGCTGGGGTAGGGGGGCTAGGGGAATGCTATATAAAATAACAGAATACACAAGAAATGGATACACAAAAACGTCAAAATAATTCCTATCATAAGTAGTAGCAAACTGTCGCTGACGCCTTCGGCTTGGTGGATAAAACGGGACGCAAAAATCCCCGTATACCCCGCATCACAATAGTACACAGAATTTATCTTAACGAATGTTTAAAGACAGAATGACAGACACAGTATATTAAAGTGTCCCATGTATGTAAACAAGATTTAAAATACATATAAAATAAACCCATAATGTATTACATACATCCAGCCTTAACAGTCTTATGAGACACTGTTATCTAGAGGGGCAAAATATACATCATAGAAAGATTTTTATAAAACTATATAAATACATAACCTTAGGTAAAAATATCTTAAATCTCTATTCATGTAAATATAGGATCAAAACAAGCTGAAATTCAGTCATATATTTCACTAACAAGGTACTGAGTAGTCGATTTGAACCACTGTTTCACCGTTCACTGACTGTCGTGGATGCATGTTTTTTCAATGGGGCGGGGTATAAATGATTTATTGTGCCTGATGATTTGTTCGACACCACCCAGGCAGTGCACGACCGTACACCCTGCATACATGGTAATTTGTTCAAGGTCACGTGAATCAATCAGAGATAGACATTCTGACATGAGGTAGGATAACTGTGTATTGTCTTGAAGATTTATTGATGCAAGGACTCCATTATGTTCTTGTTGACATTGTTGGTAGCTGGAGGTGTTCCCTTTTTCACTGTTTTGGGGTGAGTGAGCGAGTGGGTTTAGTTTTACGCCGCACTCAGCAATATTCCAACTATATGGCGGCGGTCTGTAAATAATCGAGTCTGGACCAGACAATCCAGTGATCAACAGCATGAGCATCGATCTGCGCAATCGGATGAGTGAGTTTAGTTTTACGCCGCACTCAGCAATATTGCAGCTATATGGCGGCGGTCTGAAAATAATCGAGCCTGGACCAGACCATCCAGTGATCAACAGCATGAGCATCGATCTGTGCACTTGGGAACCGATGACATGTGTCAACCAATTCAGCGAGCCTGACCACCCGATCCCGTTAGTCGCCTCTTACGACAAACATAGGTTACTGAAGATCAATTCTAACCCGGATCTTCACGGGTCCTGCGCAATTGGGAACCGATGACATGTGTCAACCAAGTCAGCGAGCCTGACCATCCGATCCCGTTAGTGGCCTCTTACGATAAGCATGGGTTATTGAAGGCAAATTCTAACCCGGACCTTCACGGGTTTCACAGTTTTGTGTGCTTGAGAGGGTACGTAAGTCTCAAAACATTCGAAGTAAATTTAGATATACCACGTTTATAATAGTAGGATACTTGTGTTTTTAAGTGATGGCTAAATTTGTGCACAATCGCCAACGTATGAAGGGACCATGTAAGTCCTTCTAGGGTTCTCGCAGGTAGCTAATGTACCGTAAGTCCCCATGGTGATCTAAATTCAGTTGCTGGCTGTCTATAACCTGTTTTCATTTTGTGTATTGTTCAAATAGTGCTATTATATAAATATCAAATGCTAGGTTTAAATCTGATTGATATTCTGGATATTTTACAGTCCCTTGACGACAGGTTATATACTATACATTTATTCCTAATCAATGCTTAATTGGTTCAAGTAAAAAAATGGCTGAAATATTGCCGATGTGACGATATACTGGAGTATATTAACTGACTCACACTCAAATCGTTTTCATCAGTGATATGTTTTCATTACATTTCTTTTCAACCAACCCTGATCAAAAGGATAAAATGAAGCAATTCGCATTCTGATTACACAATGCCGTTTAGAAAGTGGTCAAATGCAACATATGTTATATTTGGGATTACACTTTCTTAGCAACATGTGTTGCAATTCGCATTCTGTTTTCATAAATAGTAGAAATAATGTCAAGTGAGTTTTGAGTAAAAGAAAATATTTTAGCCCATGGCCGATATATTTGTTATAGAGCTCTTAATTATCCGAATTAAGTAAAAAGATTGTATCATGATACTTACAAACGTACTTTCATTCATTTGCTACCTAAAACACACGAAAACAACATGTATTTTGAGCAAATGTAAAGATTCTCGCCCATGGGCCAAATGTCTTTACGCCAATGGACGAGATTGTATAAATAACGCTCTAAATTAGTCCAAATAAGTCCAATCAATATATTGTTTTTGTCATGATACTTATAAACATACACTCATTCATTTACAACCTCCAAAACATGGAAAAAAGCGTATTTTGAGTAAAAGTAAATATTCTCACCCATGGGCCAAAAATGTTCGCCAATGGACGAGATTGTATAAATATAAATTAGCCGAATGAAGTCAAAATGAGTTGGATTTTGTTTCATGATACTCATAAGTATACACCCATTCCTTTACAACCCCCAAAACATGGAAAAACATGTATTTTGAGTAAAAGTAAATATTCTCGCCCATGGGCGAGAATTTTTAATATTGCTCCAAGTTAGTCAAATTAAGTCAAAATGAGTTGAAATTTTCTGCATGATGCTTATAAACATACACTCATTGATTTACAATCTCCAAAACATGAATTCTGAACGAAATTAAAAATTCACGCCCATGGGCCACTGTTCGCGAGTTTAAATTTAGAGCTTTCGAAAAAATATTTTTTCATCCTTGGCATATATTCATAACAACGGCATGTTTAATTTTGTCGAATCCCTTGTCAGAAAGTGCCCACAGTGCGGAGTGTTTCTGGACTTTTGTTGGTCCAGAATTGAATTGTGACGTGTTATTAGCACTTTGGTGAAACCAAAGTGTTCGACAAATACATTTTATTTTGAACGTCAATCAGTTTCTATGCTTCATTAACTAAAGCAAACTTACCCATATATCCGTTGGAGATATTCCAAACACACTCATATACTTGTGGGAAAAGTACAATATGTATTACATAGCACTGATTTTGGCATGTGCATGTATAAGTTCGACAGCCATACAGTTGCAGCCTCTTTCATTCATTATCATACGAGGTATTTATAAAAGTGAGTGAATATGAGGTCTACGCCACTTGTAGCAACATTCTAGCAATATTGCATCGGGATACACAAGGAATTGGCTTCGCATCAGGGGAATCGAACCCAGATCTTCGGTGAGACGAGCAAACCTCAAATGTAACCCAACAACCCCTCCTATTTCCAAAAAGAAATAACAAGGAATAATGTTCCTTTGCAGAATGGAAAAAGTCATAATTGTGTTCACATTTAGCTTGCAAATGTTCAAAGTTAGAAACACCTTTGTGCTCATTGGTCATAATTCACGGAGCCGCCGACACAGCACAAGATACGAGCATCATTCGCTACAAATATATCGAAAATTCTGCTCAGCTACGATAATGCAACTACTTACATCTGCAGTGAATAGAATCAGAGTATTTTCAAACAAGCCCCGATCCTTCAGTGCTTTGGTAACATTCCCCACTGCCTCATCCAGTGCAGACACCATTCCTGTAGGGAATAGAAGTTGCCTTCATCAAGATGTCGAGCTGTGTGAACTATATGAGGATCATCTTGAGTCAACAAAAGTGATACAAACTTTGCTTTCGGGGGAAAATTATTTACACAGATAATTGTTTGAAGAAAGAGATGGGAAATACGAACATAAACTTGCATACCACTGTACTTTCTTCGCCCTTCATTAATCACGTTCGGATACATGTCCTCGTACTTCTTTGGCACCTGTAATATCCATAGATAGATATATATATAGAGAGAGAGATAGATAGATAGATAGATAGATAGATAGATAGATAGATAGATAGATAGATAGATAGATAGATAGATAAACTGATACATGCATTGACAAATGGAACACACATATGTATCGAGCCCAAATGAGCATTCATCAACATACACATCATCATGTTGCTATGATTCATAAAATACTTTTCTAGTTGTAATGAGAATATCCAACCGGCTCTTTTGAATGACTCTTAGCAACAAATACCTTTTGAGAATAATCTTCAGGGAATATTGCAACACCGATTACATTCTCAACCCTCAAGAATATATACAGGTACACGTTCTCGGTATACTGTGGATTTTATGTACCTCAATTGGACCATGCACGCTCTGATACGGGAGGTACATAAACAACGGCTGTGATACATTATGACGATGGATGATGTCAACGGCTCTCTGGGCGAATGTGTTCTGAAAGGAGGAATACATGATAAAAAGGAATATTTCACAATGGTTGAAAAAAACCGACTCACTCAGGAATTAGTCATATCACAGAAAGTGTTCATTATTAGTGAGTGAGTGAGTGAGTTAAGATTTAAAGTCACATCGGCAATATTTCAGCCATATCGTGACTAAAACTAGTTCTAAATTCATAATACATACATATAATATATAAAACCCTGTCAGCAAAGGACAGTAAAACCACCAGATTATCACAGATTGAGTTAAAACTAGCTAGCATATATCTTTAAAAGTACAAAACTATTTTTGGACAATACGATGTAAAAATGGGCTATAGATCGCCAACAACTGAAGGTAGATCACCATACTAGGAACCATGGGGACTTACATTACTTTGCTACCTGCATGGATCCTAGCTGGAGTTACACCATCCCTTCAGCCGCTCGCGATTGTAGGAAGTGTTCATTATTAAGCACAATGGTTATGAAACGTGTCAACTGAAGTTAGTACCACTAAGTTCAATGTCAAGCGGTATTGCATACTCACAGCAGAATATTCTCCAGAATAGTTTCTTGCAGGGGTTTTATTATCCCTGAAGTCCAAGTAATCCCCTGGTAAAATATAAAACATTTATACAACCTTACATCTGTTTACGTGTCCATCAATGAAACCGAAACCTAAATACATGAAACCGAGTGGCAGATTACATTTGATAACTGCGATTGTTAGTGACCATACAATCTAAGCAGGTTAAAGTAGGAGATGATGTAAAGCCTGCTAGGGCCCATGCCTGCAGTCAAGGTACTATAAGTTCCCATGGTCCCTAGTAAGGTGATCTACCTTCAGTTGTCAGTGATCAATAGGCTGTTTTTTATCATTACCGTTAAATATAGTGATGTAGTTTTGTGGTAACACCACTGGTGTTATACGCAATCTGTGATATGTGTTTTGATGTCATTGGCAGGACTGCCTATTATCTATCCATATATTATCTATTCATAACTTTTCTAGTCACGATATGGTTTAAATACGATGTGAATATAATTCACTCACTCACTCGCTCAGTCATACAACCATGCAGTAGGCGTAATACGCACTACTACTGTGGCTGAAGTAGTCTTCACCGGAATTATAATAACCAAAGAAGGTGTCGAAGCCTCGGTACGTTGGAGTGCACTCCCACTTGCAATAACCAAGATGCCATCTAAAATGATAGTGCGCATGTTACATTTACAGCTTAACAGCACTAAAATATTCACATATGTACTTTGGTGTATTTTAAGGATGACAACACTCCATGGACTCACACCTAAGAACCCACATGATATGGTTGCAGACATGAATGAATCCATATACATTATTGGGTCTTAGAATGACAATACGCAATATAGCAAATAACACTTCATTATTACATTCATTGTACATCCTTTATATCTGGTAATCTTATTTGTTATATGTACTTTTCGGGTTTTTTAAGTGTAGTACAACACCCACTTTCCAATTATATTTAGTTCCTGAGGGAGGAATGTAAAGTTGAGGGGCACACACACGTCTTGGTCATGATTCAGTGCCATATGATGAATGAAACACATTATCATTGTAAGAACATCATATGCATATATGTGAGGACAAATGAACCCAACTTTGATCCAGCTTTGTGAAAGAGCACAAACATATTCAATATTTAACAAACAAGTGAGTGAAATGTAATAGTAATAGTAATAGTCCGCTTATATGGCGCTCATATCCAGGCACATTGCCTGCTCACGGCGCTACGTACATTACTATCCCCGGTCATAGGACACTATCGTACTTTCCGATACTTCTTCAACTCCCTGGGGAGTATACAGCCATGCTGCCTGTTAGGCGCAACGAACTAAACACTCATATTGCCAGCACATCCTCACGGGTACCCATTTTACAGATGGGTTAACTAAGACAATGTGGATCAAAGTATTTTGTCCAAGGATACTACGCAAATGTGCCCACCTCGGGACCCGAACCTAGGTGCCTCCACCGGGGATCGAACCCGGGTCTTCAGCGTGATAGGCAGACGCCTTACCACTGCACTACTGCGCTCCAAATGTGAAACAATACGCCTTAAAGACAAACGAACAGCAAGAAAAAAATATTTTTAACGGCACACTCAGCAATACTGAGAAAAATTGTATCCTCAGGTAAAGAGTAGATGATCAAAATAAAACACCTGCAAGTTTTCAATAACATGTTTCTTGTATTATGACCTGTAGTGTAAACATCCTGCTGATAATATTATTTATCTCCTAATATCTCTTATGTTAACAACATAGAACCTTACCTGCATGCCTGCATGGAAAGGATACATTCCACTCATAAAGGCGGTACGGGATCTGAAACAGTGAGGGCAATGGTAACTGTACATGTATAATATTGCAATATTGCACCTTTTGAAATCAGTTTAGCCACTTTTGGGGTGTTTTTATACAATACTTAAATGTAGATGTAGTAGGCTATTGTACTGAAGAGCAAAAACAAACCGTCAGATGCGCCTGCACTGCACATGCCGGACCCTCCGTGGATGGGACATGAAAGGCCACAAGAAGCAAACGGAATGCATAAAGACACTGTAGCCTGTAGGTGACACAATATTGCCAAGATTGACGTCGCAATGATGCAATTGGGAGACAAGTCAATAAGCTGTAGCAAGGAACTGACGCGTGTCCTGACGGACGTGTTTTTACTGTGTGGGCACGGAAGAACACTACTCAAACTGTTGCTGACAGGCCAAGGTCTGGTTATTCCAGAGTAAACCGTCGTCACTCGGGATTGATAAATCCGACTACGTCGCTCAGGATCGACACATCCGGTTGTGTCACTCAGGATCGACACATCCGGTTGTGTCACGCAGGGTCGACACATACGGCTACGTCACTCAGGATCGACAGTTTGACGTGCGTCACTCAGGATCGATACATCCGGGGAGCATAACCCTCGAAATACAACCGAGCATGAGTGGTAGAACATTCCAAACCATTTTGTGCAATGTTGGATTTCCATTGTGCGTACCACTGTGTCATGTGCACATGTTTCAGACAGTTTCCCAGAGACTGTTTGGATCATGTCTAGCGTTATCCACTTCTCATATAGTCACAATCGTTTATTGTATCATGTCTACCCTTTTAATTTTTTGTTGGAAAGGAAAAAATATATTTCATGAACAACGATGTGAGAATATATAGCGTGAACCGTTCGGGTATCAAGTAAGATCATCTGTGATGTTTCTTATATTTTCACAAATGTAAATGATAAAATAAAGCAACAGTTTACGGGCTGCAAAGAGGCTGGACGTATGCATTATTGAAGATAATTCCCTGTGTGGCCAGTTTGTCGATATTTGGGGTTATCATGTCAGGATTCCGGAAACCAAGGTCATTCCACACTGCACAAACACAAAAGATTTCTTGAAAACATTGCTATGAGAGTGATATGCACTGCTTAGTTAATCTCTACATTGAAATAAGACACACTTAGAGTGACATATTGTTTCAGTATGTACTTCACATCAAATCTCTTATTGTAATTTTGCTGAGTGCGGCGTTAAACAAGAAAAATCAAATTGCTATAAACTCACCTAAATCATCTGCCACAATAAAAACGATATTAGGACGCTGTGTCGATGACAACGATAAAGAAAACAGGAACAGAGCAAGGAGAAGCCGAACCCCCACCATGTTGGCTTACTCAACATAAACGAGACTGCCCTTTGTTATCTGCCAGTATATAGACATGTAACCCTCCTAGATGAGTCTGATAAAGCATTTATCTAGATCTAGATCTCAACTTTGTTCTATATTGTTCAGATAATTGCGAAGGTCGCATGTGTTGAAACGAAGAAGAAATGCAGGTACGTGTTACCACCATATATGAGGTTTATGGAAAGGTGGATATTGTTGTGGACAAATCTAAATGAAACAGTTTACATGAGCACAGTGACCATCTACGACAGAGTTGTAATTGCTGCGATATGCAGCCATGACTGAGACATGCAGTCCTGGGCCCCGTTTCACAAAGCTCTCGTAAGCCTAAGATCTCGTAGGTTTCCTCGTAGCATTCGTACCCCCTATACTGTAACATGAGAGCTTTGTGAAACGGGTCCCTGGCAGATGCTGACATTTTTTGGGGTACACATCTGCACTCTTACGTAAGAGAAGAAAGTAGACGCGTGAAAAGTGGCCAGTATATAAGTTTCAGTACGCAATACCGGCCACGTCCTCCATGGACAAGAAAATCCATTCGTGACCTACCACCATGCATCCTTTCAAAGGATGGTGGGCGAAATTAAACTATATTGTTTTGATCGGTCGTCAGGCTAAGTGAGTTTACTTTTACGCCGCTTTTAGCGTGATTCCAGTAGTGGTGGGGGACACCAGGTATGGGCTTAACATACTGTACCCATGTGGGGTCATTGGCGTGATGAGCGAACGCTTTAACCGCTAGGCTACCCCACCGCCCTCTTGGTCTTCAGAGGAAAGATCATGCCATAAACGATTTGATTACGAAAACACCTCTACACACCTGGAACAATGCAGTGGAATATGCACACAATCCGTGTACGTGTGTAGAGGGTCATTCCTGATTTTGACACTCTACTGAAAGGTCGTCAAATTGCCCTGAGCCATATTGTTAATTGGTATTGTTAATTCACACGATCCATGGTTGCAGCCCCATCTCGTGCAGTGACGGAGTAATTGTTGTGATTAAATTAGAATACACGGTGCTAGAAGGTCGTCATGGCCCGATGGTTTTTGCCAAAATGTTTCTTCCACGTGTCTCAGACTGTGATTTGCAAACTTTTCAACAGGTCTCTGCAGATACAAAATGTTAGGATAGTGCCATGTTCATCCCTCTAGACAAAACCAGCTAGTATTTCCACATAGATTAAGTCATACTCGTAGATATATGCTGGGATTTATACAGCTGCAAGGCATGTCTGACAAAAGTACACGCTTTGCTGCGGGAGCTTTACTTTGTCTCGGTGAAACTAAGTTAACGCTGATATGCCGCAACACGTTTGTCGTAAGAGGTGACTAATGGGGTCGAGTTGACAGGTTTGCTGACTTGCTTCACGCATGTCACCGGTTGCGTAGATCTATGCTCGTGATGTCAGCCACTGGTAGAGAACTGAAAAACTGGGTTAGGACTATGGTGTCAAGATCTGGTTCAGCGCCAGAAATAGTAGATTGTATTCTTATTGAAAGTAGTAAATGAGTGATTATCTGTTTTTATAAAGTTATATACATAGATGCTGGATTTGATTTAGTAAATTGTAATTTTTCAAATATGCTGTACGTTTAAGGACGGCTCATAATCTAAACATACAAACTAAGAATTGGTGATTTTCTGAAGGCTCCAGTTCAAAGTTGTAGGCCTTGGTGATGAACAGAATCCAATAATTTTCATTGTCTTTACAAGCATCACAATACGTTTCGCAGCCGTAATCAAGGTTTAAATGGACATGGGATCTGTGCAACTGGAGGAGGGTTTCCCCTCCCCATTTGGAGTTTGAAACATCTTTTAATGTATCCAGTGCCTTCTGGCGTATATGCATTTCTGCAGGATCCGAAAAATCAACCCTTAACCTATCATATATTTCAATGAATGCACAGAACGGCAACCACTCATGATGTCTGATGTGCAGGTGCACCATTACCTAACACTAAATGTACATCACTACTAATCTCTCACTGTCTTAAACCGACACCATCTCCTTACTTGAGGAAGAGGTGAATACGGTGTAGACGTTGAATATATATTTTGCTGAACTGGTGGTTCCCGCAGATTAACACCGATAATACCATGAAACTGATGATCGGTCTCGGACAAGACAGAGCAATTTACACTTAAATCTTCAGACACATTTCTCCATCAGTTCTACTTTCCTCTCTATGTGTCTTATTCTTATAATTTGCTTTTATATTGTAACAAACTGCTGAGTTCTATGCGTGAGGACATATCATATTAACTGATAAGTCTGTCACGTTTCAGACAATAAATGGTAGGAAATCTGACAACACTTTTCCAGCCTAGATGTTAAATCTGCACCTGAGATGATCAGTAGCCGAGAAAAATATCATTTTCTGTTGGTCCAAGTCATATTGGCATAGGAGGAAACAGTACAGCTGATGCAGCAGGAAAGGCTTCTCCTGAACATATGGCAACGTACACTGACATCCCTTTTTCTGATTGAATACCAGTTACAAGGCAATATGTTAAGCAGTGCTGGCACTAAAACAGGTATGAACAAAGTATCAACAATCTACATGATATAAAACCGACCACAACCCTATCAGTGCAAGTTGTCGAAAAGATGATGTTTTAAGAAGTCCCAAAGAGAGACGGGGCCCAGCTTACTTCCGGTACCAGATTTCCGGTGACAAGCTTATACTCAAGAACTATTTCTGGTTCCAAATTGCGCGACCGCCAAATATGACTTTACTAGACCGGACCATGCTTGGCTGTCACAGCTGTTGACAGCCGTAATAGTTGGCTAATTTGGGGATAATTAGATCGGGCGTTTGTTATTCCTGCAAGGATTATCGGTTCCTTACTGTGAACTGGCGATATAAATAGATATATATTGTTGTTTGTCACCGGAAGTACTAAGGTGACCTACTTACGAGCCCTAGAGGACATTCGCATTTCACTCATTCTTTCCTTTTGAAGGGCGATGATGCTCCGATGTATATTCCATGGCAACGACATTTTACCATGAAACACATATTTATATTACTGCATTAATGAATGTTATCTTATATGGCGATTGACATAATTCTTTCACGATTGTTTTTCAAGTATCCATACTGAATTTATATTAATTGGTTCTCGCCGCGAATAGCTTCAAAAGCGACGGTGTGGCGTAAAGTAATCCCCAGTTATTCAGTCATTCATTTATTCATTCATTCATTCATTCATTCGGGCTCACCTGTATCATTACTTTTTCGTAGTGATCTTCATTCACACATACTTACGATATAGAATCATCCGATGGACTTTCCTTTAATCAAAGATCTATGATGATTATAAAATTAGTTTATTAACAAAGAGTGAACAGATACATACTGAACCCATTCTTCGTCCATACACTACTGGCCTGCTGATGGACGGCTGTGACATGGCTATTCACTTGTATCTACTTGTCTACACATGCTTTCTCTGTTCACAGATTAGCATATGGTTATCACCATGTCATGTCATTGATAAAGGAAGTAAGTTACACTCATTAGTTTCATATATGTTCATCATGTAATTGATGCTCTTGTTCTCTTCGTTCTGGAGACAACAGGTTTTCTGTAACATCTGCTACTGCAGCTCCATCGCACTTTTCACGGTACACATTCAGTTCTGTTGGAGTACCATGCAGAGATTTCCGGGTATTTTCCTTTGGAGTTGAAAGGAACCCTAATGCAGAGGCCAAGAACATCATTGCACCTGGAAATCAACGTAACCGTCAATTCAGCATCATGTCGCACTGTTTGTATTTAAGATGGAAACCATTAAGATTTCCATTACTGGTATCATATCGAATAGAACAGTTGTAAAATGATTGTCAGGAAACTCAAATTCAACGCCAACAACGTGAGTGAATGAGTATGGGTTTACGCCGCTTGTTCCTGTATTACAGCAATATCACGGCGTGGGACCGGAAATGGGCTTCACACATTGCACCCATGTGGGGAATCGAACCCGGGTCTTCAGCGTGACGGGCGAACGCTTTAACCATTACATGACCGCTCCAGGCTAACAAAGGATGTCTAATTATTTATTTTGTAACATCTAAAGTAGAGGAGGCAATTTCAGCTAAAGGAGTAGGGAATAGTAAGGTTTCACTTTACCAAGGTTTCTGATATATATCATCATTGAACTGGCAGTATGGCTTTGTCTAATTCTTTTAATATTTTCAAGCATACAATCTTCTATATGCAAAGAGTGCGAATTAAGAAGTTCTCTTCCAAGGTTAAACTTTATTTGTAACATTTCTAATTTCACAACACATGGATTTATCTGACAGACTTTTGTCTAACAAGTGATTAGCGTTTCTATTCCGCGTTAATAATATGAAGTTATGTATGTGGAAATGTGTCAGGTGCCAATGAAATAGTGTGTTATGGTTGGTGCAGACAAACCTAGAAACGTAATCAGGGGAAATCTAGGAGTTGGAAGTAAGATTGTAGATTTCTGTCAGGCCTAAGAAATATACAGCGAAAGTCAGTCGTTAACACTATATATTGTGATTGGTGTTTGTACATGATTCGTCATAGTGAACTGCCATTGATCAACCTGAATCCACAAGGGAGGATGGGGAATGATGTACTGTACTGTACTTCAATAAGGAACAATATATACGAATAATTCACAGAAGATGAATGAATTTCCCAACATTCCATCCAGCACATTGAATAAGTTAGCTCATATAGCTAAATAGTTAGGTTTCCCTTATTGATTTTGTCAGGTTTGTTCACTTAAATATTAAACTTAAGCTACCTGTCCCAATAGGTATTTCAATATGTGCATCCATTCATCCGTCTTCGTCCTCTACAAATATGTTTCAAATGTCCACAGTTGTTGTTTTATTGCCATTGTGGTTTGCGCCGTTCTACCATGGTCTGATATGAACGAAACGAAGCATAAGAAACAAAGCAGGCATAGCTCGATACGTACCGGAGAACAAGAAGACGTTGTAGTAATCACCACTCGCTTCCAAAATTGCACCTGTAACAAAATTATATACTACTAATTGTGCCGCCACGATGGAAATATTTAACCAAACTACCTGTCAGTGAGTGAGTAGCAACATTCCACCAATGTCACGGCGGGGGACACCAGAAATGGACTTCACACATTGTAACCACGTGGGGAATCGAACCCGGGTCGTCGTGACGAGCAAATTCTTTAACCACTAGGCTACCCAACCGCCTCAATGTGCCTATGAAGATCAGTCAGTGATGTATATTAGAAATAGCCCGTTTAAATTCGGTAAGTATATAAAAAATTTCAATATTAAAATACCATTAATAAGCAGCTCTCAAACTATTTCAAGATTCTTCTGACGAATATCCTACAAACTTTCCCAAACGTATCATGACCCGTGCTGAGTTCACTAAACTAGGTCATAGTTGATTTCAAACATGCCAAATGAAAATAAAACTTTCATAAGTAAACATGTGCCCCTATTTACCTGAAACAAAACCCACGATGACAAGCACTCATTTACCTTGACCTTTAATCTCAGCCACGTTCTGCCCATTGTTTTCGAAATGTTGCTATAAATTATGGCTGTTTTCATGTCTCGTTCACACCGAGTTTGCTTCAGCTTCAATTAATGTCATACCAGCATGTACCAGTGTATAACTAGTGACACCCATGACAGACGCAACCATGTTAATCACAGCAACAGTCATTTAATTACCCTTGTGAAACCTTGACATTTAATTGGCATTGAGTTTGGCTTGACTATTTGCCAAACCTTTGATGGTTCACTAATTAATCCGAAAGTTTGAACCACATATACTTATTTAACCTTAAGTGACCTTGACCTTGATAGGAATCATGCAACAGGTTTGAGCGATTAAGACATTATGTATATTTCGTGTCGTCAAAATGGAAACATAAATGCTCTAATTTACCTGTGTTTTTCTTTTCCTTAATAGGCTGGGGGTTGTTAAACAGTAGCTGACTGTCCTTTTCCAACAACGTCATCCCATAATATCAAAGAAAATCTGACTCTATATACATGTAATATATATATATGAAATTTCTAACATCATGTGTTCAAGAGAACCAACTGCATCGGCGGAGACGGCTGAGCGAATACATACTCAATTAACATTCGTCCACACTGAATTGGCACATACTAACATTCGTTTTGACTGAACTGGCACATGCATATTCGATCAATTAGAAAACAGCTGCATGACTGACCGTCATGAGTCGTTCTTTTGTGCGTTCAACCGGCTGCTGTTACCGTACATACTGATTCGAAAGAAAACAATGACCACTTCAGGATGTATGCATGTCCATTTTGGCTGCCTATTCGACAGCCTGGTACAACAAACCAGAAAAATCATTCCGACTACAGCTGTCAAAATACACGAATGTAGTAGAATCATAGTCACTGTTGGTCGCATCTATGTTACTTATTACCATGGTGGGACTTGTTTTGTGGACTGTTTGATCCTGCTTGAGAACCCTGTAGGTAGCAGAGAGTCTTGTTTACATGGTCCTTAGTATGGTAGCCTAACATTGTGTTGTATATTGATATAATTTTACGGCTCAATAATAGGTTAGCAAAACGAATCTGTGATAATCTGATTGTTTTACTGTCCCTTGCAGTCGAAATGAATTTATTATGAGAGTTTTAAGTTGCATTTAGTAATGTTCCATCAATTTCACAGCAGAGGACATTGATCCTGGGTCTTCGACGTTAGGAGCGAACTCTTTCTAACCACAAGGCTATCCCACCGCCCTTATCTATTATGTATCTTAGAGTCAAGATATCAATGGATGAACAGAGACTTTAATTTTTAGTCGTTCACTCACTGAGATTGTTTTGGGAAAACCTTGTAATGCTCAGGAAACCAGGGAAATGATTATATTATTAAAGGATATTTATATAGCGCACATATCCACGCAACTAGTACATGCTCAAGACGCTGGTGTGTTCCCTTGATCAGCGGATGTCTTTATTTCTGGCATTCATTTTTAACCAGCTCAACTCCCAGGGACGTATTCAACTCACGAAACCTGTTAGGCGCAGCGAGTTATCACACAGCCTCATCCTCACAAGGTACCCATTTGCAGCCGGGTGAACTGGGACACATAGTTCTCAGTATTTTGTCCAGTGATACTGCACGTTACTATACCCGTAACTGGCTGTCTGCACGTGTTCGTGTGTCTACTACCTGGTCACCTACGAGCAGATGGGTGGGTTCTTTTAAGTGCACAGGGTTGTGTACTGCACACTAGGGGTTGTGACACAATGAAAGAGCCTGCAGATAATGTTAGCTCCAAGGTTTTCACACCCGGTCACAAGTGGGTCTCGATCAAGGCACCTTCCGCTTTCTTAGACAGCTCGCCCACCATGCCCCACCATGATACATACACGAAATGGTCCTGTTCCTTGCCAAGCAGACAGTAGTGGCGCGCAACAGCAGGACTATGTGGATATATGTAAATCACCAATAGGACATTTACAGGTTATCAGACTGATAGAAATAACATGACTACATTTTGTGGTGTCATCACTGAATCCAGTGATCCATGGCTGTTACAAACAAGTGAATGAGAAAACCATCAGACATTAGGGATAGTAAGATAAACACACATGCTTGAGGTTGAACATAATCAGTGAAATTCATTCCCGCTCCCGTTAGTTGCCTCTTACGACAAGCGTGGGTTGCTGAAGACCAAGTCTAACCCGGATCTTCACGAGTTGGGGGAAAGTAGGGGATCCGCTTTGCATGTAGTCATGTTGGGGAACGTACCTGCAATCGGGGGTCCAATCAAGTAGCCGGTTCCACAGAAGAACATAACCACACCTACACCAGTGGCAAAGTTTTGAAGTCCCAGAATGTCAAGTGTTAGTGTATTCATATGTACCCAAACGCCACCTGTGTATAATCCGAGGAAAAAGCCAAAGAGAATTTGCAGATACGAAGAAGATTGAAATAATGGCACAAAAAGTGTGAATAACGCCATGATGCTGGCGGTAGATGTATGCAATATTGCACCGCCAATCTTCTCGTCAGCCGAAGCAATTCCCGTGAGAATACGCGAGATAACGCTCCCTATGCCGGACAATGATATCACGAGGGAAGCGTCCTGGAACGTCGCTCCTTGTTTCATGAAAAAGTCCGGGAGAAAAAGATATTCTGATGATAAACCAAGAGCAAAACAAAAAATACTGAAAGCAAAAAATAGGAATGATATATTCTTGACGACTTTCCCAATCCTGGAACAATCCCCACACAGTAAGAGTATTACTTTTCTCCCGAGTTGTCCACCTCCAGAAACATCTCTTTTTTTATTTTTCTCAATCACAGAGGGCCGCATCAGCATACCAGTTGCACAGGTATGAAATGTTATTCCTCCAGTTATTAGAAAGGCCCCATGGAATCCGTAGGTATCTAATAGATACTGAACTAAGACTGGGTGTACAAACATGCCTAGTCCTGCCCCAGTGACGCATATCCCTTGAGCAACAGCTGGGTTGTTAGGAAAGTAGTATCCAAGAACAACGATTGCCCCGGTCCCTGACAGACACGTGCCTAAACCTGGAAAAATCAAAACATGAACAATTACAGCGGGTCGGTTTCTGTTGTGTCTTCACACTCGTCATGACAAAGGTACTTCACCATTAATGACAACATGACTTAGAGGTAACTCCTTAAGCCTGTAAAATAACAGAGGGATGGGCATGTTTTTGTTAGTTCTAAGTCCGAAATGTCCCAGTCTCTCAAATCCAAAATGAAGAATGAACTTGGGGCCTGGCAAACTCGTGGTTATTATTCTATTCAACAATCTATTCAATGAAGACAAACGTTTCCACAACACATATTGTAGCCACACAGTTCTTTATCATAGGAACCGTAAAGATCCGTGTTAGAATTGATTTTCAGTAGCCAATGCCTGTCGTAAGCGGCGACTAACGGAACCGGATGGTCAGGCTGGCTGACTTGGTTGACACATGTCATTGTATCCCAATTGTGCAGATCGATGATCATGTTTTTGATCACTGGATTGTCTGACCCAGACTCGAGTATTTACATATAGCTGGAATATTGCTGAGTGCGGCGAAAAACAACAAACAGAAACAGACCCAAGGCTCTTAGCTTGACCTGATCCATATCGTTGCTTCTGACATCAACAACTCTCACTGGTTGTTTTGGACCTATCGTAACCAGTAATCGAACGAAAGCTCTTTTCTGAGTGTTACATGTGAGAGGGTTAGGCGTCTTTCAGTGCTGGCGATTAGGTGCCTGACTTTGAGGGTGTGGGTTCGAATCCCGGATGGGACTCAACCCAACAAAAGTACTATAATCTCTACGTTACTGTGTAATCCCAAATATAACATATGTAACATTTGACCACTTTCTGAATGGCATTGTGTTAAATAGTCTTGCTATTTCTAAGGGTTACACAATGCTGGACAACCCAATAGTCTGGGCACCTACCTGCCACAACAGCATATGTCATGAACAACAGTCGTATATCTGCCACCAGACAGCTGCACGCAAATCCAACCAGCATTACGATTCCCGACATCACCACGCATGTTCTGCAGCTAAACACGTTGATTACAAAGCTAGCCACAGGCCCTGAAGTAGATAACGAAGAACAACGATCTCATGCATGAACAACCTGTAGGCTGATAAGTAAAAACTTTTACTTTTTGAAATATCCAAAATTCTGAAAAAGCTAACGTCTATTTAATTAATGGTAAAACACATTATAATTGTTTAGTAGGAATGTAGAAGAAGCTTCACTAAAAATTCTACTAAGAACGCAATACTAGTACATTTGTTTTCTCCGAATTAGTAATTTAACCTGGTACAAACAAAAAGATATATATATCACATCAGTTTTCTTAATACCTGACTTTTAGTCACCAAAGACTTCCACATCCTTTTTTTAAGAAAGTAAAACTGCTAAACTTCAAACGTAACGATACATAATACATATACAAAAAAATATGAATTTATAATGGCGCCCATGTATTGAAACGAATACTGTCAGGACTGGACCCGTGAAGATTCGGGTTAGAATTGGTCTTCAGCAACGAATGCTTCTTGTAAGAGGTGACTAACGGGATTGGATAGTCATCGTATCCCAATTGCGTAGATCGATGCTCATGCTGTTGATCATTGGATTGTCTGGCCCAGATTCTATTATTTACAGACCGCCGCCATGTAGCTGGACTATTGCTGAGTGCGGCGTTAAACAAGAAACCAACCAAACCAACTATCAGGGATGTTTGAAATTATCATTGTTGTTTCACGTACCTGCCAGGGCAAACATGCAGCCGAAGATGGATCCAACCCAGGTTGTGAGAACCAGGTCCTCGTCAAACTCTGTCAACAGGGCCACGTGTAGCACACCGGTGGCATAGTTGACGCTGGGGCCAAACATCATGGTCATGAAGGAAGCGGCCAACACGACCCATGAGTACATCCCCGTTCGTTCCATCCTGCAGATATATACTACCCATCAGCTTAGACTCACTAGTGTAAATGTAGCCACTTACTTCAGTCAACTGTTCTAAACTAGAATTTGCAAAATATGCCATACTGTTTAAAGTTATTGTTTACACATGAACTGTTGTAATGTAAAAACAATTTCGTAATGTTGACAAGATTATTGTAATGGGTTTAATAAATGATGAGACTCAGTGAAAATTGGAGAATTCTTAATAAAACTATACACCAACACGCAGCTGTTCACATGCACGATATTTGTACATGCTTTTCAGCAATTTGATGCATGATCCCCATGCAATTCATTTTGCATTGGGTTTGCAGTTGGTTCCCCGAAGTTAGAGGAGAAATTCATCTTCTATGTAACCACATATATACTGCGTCAAAAAGAAACTTCACAAAATGTAATTTGAAAAATAATGAATAATTTTTTTCTGAAGATAGATCTATGTATCCGAAATGGGATCCCTATCTTTCGACTCTAGAAAAACGTTAGCAAAACCCACTCAAACCCATCCATTCCTCGTGCAAATGACGTTAGTGCCAAATCAGGTTTTGCACGTGCAGTCGATCACGTGATCTTCGCATCGAAGTTTTCTTCATATGCACGTGTTTGCATTGGCCTCAAGAAAAAAACACTTTTAAACCACAGTTCTAACGGTACTTGAAATGACCACGATTGTCAAATGTGCAACGTGAACATGCCGTTGGCATGTTGCAAGCGGGAAGATCAGTTATTGACGTCGCAAGAGCAATGGGATGCAGACGTCGTACTGTGTATGACTTGCGAGGTCGCCTACAAGAAACTGGCACCACTTCTGATCGCCCAAGGTCGGGTCGTCCACGTGTGACGTCACGAGCAGAAGACCGTCAAATCGTCCTACGTCACCTATGTGACAGATTTCAGCCGGCTACACGAACCAGGGCTGAGATGTTTAGAGGTCGACTGTCCTCACAGACCATTCGAAATCGGTTGCGGGCTGCAAATCTCCATTCTCGACATCCATATCCTGGACCAATATTGACGCCGTTTCATCAACGTCAACGTCTGCTGTGGGCCCAACGTCAGAGCACGTTTGGGATGCACTTGGGAGAAGGCTTCGTGGTCTCAGGAACCAACCTCAGAATTTGCAGGAACTTGGCGCTGCCTTGCAAGAGCAATGGCGCAGAATCCCAAACCACGTGTTCACAAGCATCAGGCAGTCGATGAGGAGACGGTGTTTGGCAGTGGTGAATGCGCGGGGTGGCCATACACGATACTGAACTGAGAAATTTCGCATTTTTGTTCTTGTGACTTGACATTCTGTATACCCATGTTTTGGAACGGCGGTGTAGCCTAATGGAACTGATTATGGCACTGTCAGTGTATCGAGTACATCACACAGATCTCAGCAATGAAATCATAACAATTTAACCATCTTACCATCTCTTGTTCTTTTATAGTGCCCTGAAGAAAGAATGTGAAGTGTTTTTTTTGACTCAGTATACATACAACCAGAAACTATTGAGAATTTAAAGATTGTAATTTTTTTATATTTTTATCTCATTACTCACGTATCAAATGTGAATATTTTCAGAACATAACTCCGGATTCAAAGAGAGGTGAACAGTTAGTATTTTGTCAAGTCACCATGGGCAGCAATGCGGCCTTCAATGCGGCGGGGCATACTACTGATCAAAAAAGTTAAAAAGTCGTGGTCAATGCTGTCCCAATATCGGACCACCTCTTCTTTCATTTCAGCAATATTTGTCAGATTTTTCTTATTAACACTTTCCTTCATAAGTCCCCAAACATTTTCTGTTGGATTTAGGTCAGTGCTATAGCTTGGCCAATCTAATACTGTCATATTTTGGGTCCGAAACCAGGTCCTGTGAATGCTTTAAACGATGTTTTGGGTCGTTGTCCTGCTGGAAAATCCAAAAATGTCCATAGAACACGCGAACAGATTGAAGTAAATGTCCCTCAAGAATATCTGTGTACCGCTCACTGTTCATATTCCCTTCAAATACACAGAGGGGCGTTGCCCCTAACACAGATTTGCCACCCCACACGTTATTTTCGGACTGTACTTTGGGCGCTGATACAAAGGTTTTCCAGTTTGTTTGGTCCAGATTCAGTGTATTAGGAAACAGTCACAAAGAACTTTTATCTGAGAAAATCACATTGTCCCAGTTGAAATTTCTATGCTGTAAGCACCAGTTCAACCATCGCTCCTTTTGTTCAGGTTTCATGATCGGTGATGGAATTCCTCGACTTTTCTGCCTACCCATTGCATGTAGCTCAGTTCTAATTGTCTCCTTACAGACAGACACAGTTCCTCTATCAATCATATCCAGCCTTAAGTTTTCTAAACTCCTTCATTTGTTTTAAAAAACAAGAATACCAAGCCGCCTCCTGTCACCGACAGTCAATTTTCGGGGCCTACCTGCGCCTCCCTGGTGCTCAATGTCATATCCATTTGCAATATTTTTCAAAACAAGATAAACAGTGGACAAAGGGATGCCTGTTCTACTTGAAATCACTTTAGCTGATCTGATGTCCTTGATATAATACTCTAAAATCAACTTCCTCTTCTCTAAATCATCCATAGTGAGGATCACTGAAAATGTCGTCTGCTAGCAAGTAAAAACAAAGGGGGATAACACTTCACAAACTAATGAAAAGGAATTACCGAGTGGTCTCTCTTGAATGAAACCAAGCACTTGATAGCTGGTCAAGGTTGTTTATACTAGAAATCCAATTAAACATATTCCTACAATTCTCAATAATTTCTGGTCATACTATATATACATATACATTTGTAACATGAAGTTATTGAAGCATTAGATGACTATTTAATCAGTGAATACAAGGACTGGAAAGGGAGTTTACAGATAACGAGGTACGAGAGACTGTCAAATCTCTCTGCAAAAACAAATCTCCAGGCCCAGATAACATTACAAATGAGCACATTACACACCTTTGTGACCTGTTTAAGAAAATAATTACAATTTGCTATGTGCCTTATAACTTTAGACTTGGTATGGTCATTCAAATCTATAAAGGTTAAAAGGAAAAATCTGATCCCCGAAACTATAGGGGAATTATTCTAAAGTCATGCCTTGGAAAACTTTTTGAGAAACTATTACTTAAACGAATAGAAACTAAATTACTTGAAAATAATCCTTATTTCCCTGATATACTCCAATTTGGATTTAGAAAGGAACATGGCGCAATCATGAGCGTTTTTGCTCTTATTGAAAGTATCAGATATTACATTGAGAGAAACTCTACAGTATATGCTGCCTTTTTAGATAAAGAAAAAGCATTTGACAGAATATGGCACGATGGTCTATTTTACAAGTTACATCAACTGGGCATCCAGGGAAACATCTGGAAACTACTGCACTACAGCTATACAAATAGTTATGCTTTTGTAAGATATAAGGGTGAAAACTTTGACAGGTATCCTATTAAGCATGGTGTTGGCCAAGGCAGAGTCATGTCGTCCTGGTTCTTCCTAGTGTTTATCAATGATTTAATTTCTTCTGGAGAGTCTGGAGTCTTGGATCCTATATGTAGTGACCACGGTCCAATATTTGTTACCATCAAAGAAAAACTGAAGAAATGTAATACATACCAAAGACACATATTTGATAATTCATCCGTAGATAGGACTTATATTATGGACATAGCTAACAATATCAATTGGGATTCCCTGTTTATATCCCAGGATGTTCCTAAAATAGCAGCTGAAATCTTCATTGTGCTTAAAAGTATCAGATATGCATGCATACCTAATAAAACTGTTACCATGCGCCCTAATGACTGTCCAGGGATGAATACTGTAATAAGCAGTTTAATCAGAAAACGCAATCGAAAACATAAGATTGCAAAAAAGAAAATATCGCCTCAGGCATGGAGTACCTTCAGACAAATAAGAAATTCCGTTATAAATGAAGTAAGGAAAGCTAAAAAAACGTTATATTCATGACATTGACGAAATAAAAAGTTAATCGTGCGGTAGTAAAACGTAGTGGCGCTTGATAAAGCAATATCTTAAAAGAAATAAATCCAATAGTTCATTCCCTAATATTGTTCATAATGATGTACTATATGATGTCGATCAGGACATTGCAAATATGTTAAACAATTATTTCACTAATCAGGCTGTTGTACCAGAACCGAATTCCGAAATAGAAGATATTGTTATAACACCACCTGGATCCGTGAGTGACATATCTATTGACAAGAATGAAGTTAAGGATATTCTATTGTCTCTCAATGAAACAAAAGCGTCTGGTCCGGACGGCTTAAGTAACAGATTCTTAAAAATTGTATCCAATCATATAGTCGAACCTCTAGCGAAGTTATTTAATATCTCTTTAAAACATAGTGAGTATCCGAAAATCATGAAGGAAGCGACGGTTGAGCCAATTCACAAGAAGGGTAGTATTCATGAATGTAGTAATTACAGGCCAGTTGCTTTAACAGGTTGTTTATCTAAAGTTTTTGAAAAATGCGTTTTTAAATACTTATTCAATTTTCTTAATGTACTTTCGAACCTGCAATCAGGTTTTATGCCCGGTGACTCAACTTCTAATCAGTTAACATTTTCTACAACTTTATATCACAAACACTAAATCAAGGCTAAGAAATTAGAGCTGTATCCTATGACATAAGTAAAGCCTTCCTTAAAGTATGGCATAAAGGCATAATCATTAAACTGGAGCGTTACGGTATTAAAGGCAATTTATTAAATTGGTTTAGAAGCTATCTAAATGAAAGAACACAGAAAGTTGTCATCCAGGGTATAAACTCATCTGAGCGTGCTGTGTTAGCTGGGTTCCACAGGGTCAGTCCTTGGACCCTTTGCTGTTCATAATCTACATAAAATGATATTACAGATGGTATTGATAGTAACATACGTTTATTTGCTGATGACACCTCATTATATATCATTATCGAAGACCTTAGCAATTGCGGCTCGCTACCTAAACAGCGACCTGTCTAAAATATCATCGTGGGTAAAAA